GGGGATAGGTGGGAGGAAGAACAGGTTAGGGAGGCAGGGACGAGTTGGACTGGTTTTGGGATGCGGTGGGGGGAAAGAAATCTCATTTTCTTTGATTTGAAATGGGGAGCCCAGTCTCAGAGGGACAACTGTGCATTTTGCACAGGAGGCAATCCCAATATGCAAAAAGGCCACAGGAAAATAATGGGCTGTGAATGTGGAGAAAAATTGGATGTCCTTCCAAAACAAATCAACGCAATCAGCAACATGCTGAAATGCATGTCTGAAATCAGGCAAAATGTGGCCTCAGATGCCCAAAAGGAAGGCTGGAGGGGGGGTTCAAAGAAGTTGAAACAGGGCATGAAATGATTTGTAAACAAAGACAGGATTGTAAGATTAATATGTTGTAGAATAGGAAGCCAGTAAATGTTGAAAAGGGACAGCAGATAAGGAGTGGGTAATAAAGTGGGAGTTAGATCTCAGAAAGGTGGATATTAGAGTTAGAAATGGAGGTCCCTTTTAAAGCCAACATTTTTATTTTATGTTCTCAATAGCAAAAGGTTTTATCTTTGTTCAAACACTAACAATCTCTAACAAATAAGGACAAAAGGAAAGTTTACAGCAATGGCCACCAGGATCACTAAGGCCACTATGTTCCATGGAACCGACGTCAAAGAACAACCTGGCATATGTACCTTATTATCAATGCAGTATTTAGGAAAATTAAAGTTTTGTTCCTGAAAAGAATTAAGAAAAGTCAAGGTGGAAAAGGGGGTAATGACAATTGTGACATTGTGAGTAACTGTCGGGCATCCATTAGCTAAGAATCAAACAGGTGAATATATAATGTGAACTAGTAGTCCCTATAAATTGAGTATATTGACAAGTGCTCAGTTGAGAGTAGTTGGGCATCAGATGGCTGCTGTCCTTAAATGAACGACAGACCAAAAGAGGAAAGGCCAGAGCAGGGTTCCTTAGTGTTTTAGCTAAAGAGCAGGATGCTCCTTTCTCAAATTTAATCAGACTGACACATGTACCAACTTTCTGTGAACCCACCGGCTATATATGTTTTTCATCTCAATGTAGCATTTAAACAGTTGCCTTTTAATAAAATAAACTTCAAAAGATTTTCATGAATGGTCAACTATCTGAATTAGATAACTGTGGTCCTGAACCTCAGAAAATCCTCATGAATAATTTTGGTGAAATTGAGTCTGAAGATGACAAAACATGGGCAGGGAATGAAGGAATGACAGATGGTCATTCAGCTCTTCACATCTGCTGCTTCTAGAGACAATGCCTGATAGCAATATACATTGCTCCTAACGAGAGAAGGAGTCTTATTGAACTTAAAACATTAATTCCGTTTTTTTGTCTTCGCAGATGGTGCCAGACTTCTTGAACAGTGCTCACATTCTAAGGGGGTGATGAGAAAATTTGCCACCAAAAGCCCATGAAACTCTAAATCATAGGGTGACAATTTGGATAAAAGTCAGATTTGACAGAATTGGCTAAGGAGTTACTCCTGCAATCACTGATTGGTTCCCTGTCCTGCTGGCTTCTGATAAGTTTACTAGTAAGCCAATTAGCAACGAATAAGCAATTAGAAAGTTGTGGTGTCAGTGAGGGAACCACTACAGGAGCTTTTTGCCAGGCTGGGAGATTATGGAGGTGCATTTTGCTGGGGCTAATGCTATCGTCCTCTGCTGGGATAGAAAGTGACTACAAGATGGGATAGGGTGGGAAGAGAAGTATCCTGCAAGGGAGTGGAGTGTGGAGGGAGTAGAGTGCGGCTAAAGTGTGAGAGAGAATGCAAGGGAAACAAAGGAGAGAGAACAGTTCTATAAGGGAACACACTGCTAACTGGAACCAGGAAAATATTAAACCTCTAAAGCAATGAGTTCCCTGAAACCAATGTGGAATCCCTAGTTTAGGGTGCGTAAGTTTAGGAGAGATTTTAACTTTTACAATTACTGTATTCGTTTGTTAGAACAATATTCATGCATCAAAGTGAAGCAGGTTTCCATACTCAGATGTTTCCAAATAAACCCCATTATTCTATTGTTTTCAATCAACAAGACCAGAATTATTGTTAAATATTATGCAAAGAATGACTAGCTGAGCATAATGCTAAATTTTATATAAAAGGATTTTTATTTTTAAAAAATGCAAACATTTTATTTGGCAGAAACATGATCCTGCGGACAGGTGCTTGTTTTCAAGCAACTTTCACACTACTCTCAAGATAGCCATTAAGAGGCATGTCATGTCAGCTTGCGGGCATCTTGCCTCAATTTTTGTATTCTTCCTCAAAGCGAGAAGTAAGATCATTCCCTCCCTGTGGCTGTGCCAAATTTACAATCTTTCCATGTAGCAAACTCAACAATTAAGATTCCCATTTTACCAACTCACAGTGCACCACAATAAAGCAAAACATCATAACCCAAAGCCAAAGCACCTGATACAGATCTCCTCCTAATGAGATAAATACCATTGTGATGTTTTTTGTTGTCATGGATCCTATACATTTGTATTCAAAATGTTCTATCCTTTTGGAATCAAAAACACATATGATTTCTAAGCTATAAGCTCACTCTAAAGCAAAATTCAAAATAAAGACCTCATCTAAAATTATAATTGCTCATACAATTATGGGATTTATAAAAACTGTCTCTTGTTTTTGTCAATATAAATATGCAGCTGGCTATAGGTCACTAAGTGAAAGAAGAAATGCCGGTAAATGCAAAACCTGGGCAAGGATCTCACAACGGTCAACCCACTTTCCCCTTTTGGGTGCTACCTCACCTACAGTTCATTTCCAAAATTTACAATTTACTGTTTCACTTACTAGCTCAAGGGTTTCCCCATTGTTTGACAATAGATCAATTGACTCAGCCCATGCATTTCATCAGGCTTGGATGTATCCATTATATATGACTTGGATTCTGTGCTTAACACAGCAGAAACTTATTTTCTTTGTGCATTTGCAATCAAATTGTGTACTCCTTATATTCACGTGGATAATTTTACCAGCAAGTAGCCCTAGTCTCATTACTCACAGTTCCCATATCCCTCAATTTCCTGATTTTTTTTATGTAAACAGCAGGAGTAATCTGTAGGACATTAAATACATAATTTTGTATCTTTTTCTGATTATGAGGCTGTATTCATGCATTTGGGGATATGGCAGACCTGAAACCATAATTGACTCTTAAATTGTAATTGACTTCTAATATCAGTTATTGTTATACAAAATTTCAGTTTAAACTGATGTGATCACAGGTTTAATTGTTAAATCTAAAAAATCATGAAAGCACCAAAATATGTTGCCCCTTCATTAACATCTACAGCACTTGCATTTGTTACTTTTATGAATAGTTTGTCCCCTCGCTGCAGTTCAAACAGAGCTCCTTGAAAACTTGTGTACGCATCAAATTTGGACTCTTTTGACCAACATTTTGTAGAAATAGCTTTTGTTAGAAGAATAGGATCATTATAATTCATGGACATCTTGTAAAGGTACTGCAGAAAGAGATTGTACTGTTGATTTTCTCCATCTGGTTCTGGTATATGCCAGAAATAAATTTGGGAGTATAAGTAGTAGATGCCATTTCTTGGAATAGTAATTTCTCCATGATAGTATTTTATGCCACCTTGATGTACTGCATATCCTTTTATGTTGTTCCAGTAGAGGATATCATGTCCATCTGCACGGGCAAAATAAGGTGGCACTGCAAAGAAAATTTCAAAAGAAGGAATTAAATTCATCTTTTAAAGAAGATATCAATAGCATTCTATGACATAATTCACAACAGATAATAAATCTTAAAAGGGCAGCAGCATTGTATCATATAACAATGGCCCAGAATTTGCTGTTAGCAGCAAAAGAATGGCTTTCACCGTTCATTTGGTGTACCACTGCCCGCAGACATTTGGCTAGCTTGTCTGTGGAGACACAGTATCATCTGGCATCTGATTCAATGTGTGTTATCTCATAGGAAATATATCGGAAAGGCTCCTCAGCCAAACACATTGAAGAAGCATTCCCGAGACATGCTGGCTGCGAAATTAAGAAACTTCCTGCACTCTGTATTCAGTGTGTGTTGTTATAAATCCCTTTGTCTTTGTTTATCTAATCCTAAAGTGTGATACAGAAGCATATCACAGCAATATGACACACTGGAAATGCATGACTACAATAAACTTATGTTCACAGGTTTCTTATCAATCTTCCTCTCTGGCAATGTAACAGCGATTTAGACAAATCTGCCTTGGTATGGGGAATGATTAGTGCAGACAGTGCATGCCTGTTTTAAACATTTAATCTGAACAGTTCTTTACAGAGTCATCAACAGTGAAGAATCCCAAATTGCAGGGCTTGGATTTTTAATCCTAGCTTGGAGAAACAGTGTTATTTCAGCCATAGATAATGAAAGAGTCACATGGTATCAAACTTCAACTGGTATGCAAATCATAAGTAGTTTCAATATAATCCTATCTCCATTTTCACTTGTTACTTTTATTTTACTCTTTTTTTTAGAATTTGTGTGTTTTCTAAGACTGGGGAGCTGTGAAAAACAACTGTGGTGAAAAGTTCATGTCAGTATTTTACTGTTGTTGCTGAGCATCCACAATAATAGGGTCTACTGCTTTGACAGAGGCACTTTTTGCTGTATAGCAAAAGCAAAAAATATAACAGAATCACCAACAAAGTCTGACTTTCATATTTAAATATGTGGTGTCTACCACAGGTAGTAGGGTGGAACATTATTACCCTTTGCATCTGACCTCCACCAAAAAAAGGTCATGGCGCTCTTCTGATGAAATGGAAGTGTCCCTATTCCTGGACCAAGAGACCAGGTTCAAGTTTTACCTGCTCGAGCAGGATGTAAGTATATCTCTGAACAGTCTGATTAGAAAAATAGGTCAAAGTTTTTTTAAATTAGAAGTAGAGACAACCAATTGAATATTCCTGTGAAATCCATCATCAAGCAACAGCAATGTTCAAATAATGAACTTCACTCAAATGAGAAATGACAGTGTTGCGGATCCCAGGTTGAATGAGGGAACTAGGACCTTTCACTTGCTACTTGGAGTAGTGTTTGTGTCTCCTTTGGGCCTGTAGAGAGTAATTCATGTTCATGGTGCCGCAACTCCAATCTTAAAAAAAACCATCTCCTACATCAGTTTTTATAACACTTTTTTTTTGTTTTTCCCAGCAACTATCCTATGCAAATACAGTGCCAATGTTATGCCAAACTCACAAGGAATTTTCAGAAATAAGCCTCAGCTAAAACTGAAAGAAAATTTACTTTAACTTCAAACCCACAGTCTAGAAGTGAAAAGGTAGCATGGAATTCTATTATGCCACTCTTTACTTATGATACCATCACGAATCTTCAGAAATGTTGAGATATTTTACAACTTAGAGACCATTGACTCCTAATATTGTAATATCTTTAATTATTATTTATTATAATCAAATCTACATGTAGGAAAGCAGCCTGAAAATGAAATCGTGAATATCATTGTTATGATCTCAGAGTGTATGAAACAAAAACCTTGAACTGTTATTCTTTAGGCTGAGAAATAGTTATGTTTTACCATGAGAATAATGCAATGTTAAATGCAAAATATTGCTTACCATTCTTTGGAGGCTTGCTTCTGTGCTGTCCAATTAAATGGATAGCTGGTTTTTCAGGACCCAGGGATGTTACATTGTGTGCTAAAAAGGAATGAAATAGTGCTTAAACATTTTTTTCAATTTTCCGGCACTAAAAAGTCACTAAATCTGGACGCATTAGCAAGTCAGCAATTTGCTTACAATTAACTGATTCATTCCCAGATTAGCTATATTTTTATTCCCTTCTCAAAGTATGTGGAACATATAGTGGAGATGCCCCTGGTAAGTAAGGCACTTCTAAACACAGATAAAGTAGTGAACATTGGCCCAGTCCTGCTGTTAGGCATGCTCTGACAATATGTTCACACTGGCAGAAAAAAAAGAGATGAAGCCCATGCTTCTCCATTCTAATCAGTTTCTACAATGTACATCTCAAACAGACTGCCTGACAGTCTACTAGACATTTTCAAAATTATCATCAACCATTGTGTCTCTACTTCAGTAAGCCTCACCTTTCAATTCCTTGTATATCAAGTTCCTCACATCAGATTGCAGATGCTGAAAAATAATGAAAAAAAAAGAACATTTTAAGGAAACATTTCTATTCCAAACATTGTAACACAGTTTACACAAAAATTGTAAAATTATTTGTTTTAACCTCTTAAATAATTAATTGCACAGGTGGGTTTGAACTAAAGGGATTGTATCTGGCTCTCTTCATTCATGTGATGACATAAAATGGTTTCACCTTGGTGGAAAAATTTGTGCATCACATTATTCTGGAAACATGATTGTAACATATTTATTTCATGAATTACACATGGCTCATTTTCACAGGCAACACTGAAAGAATGGCAGTATGTTTACAATCAGGTGGTGAGTGGCTTGAAGAAGAACTTACACATTAGGGGTTCTCCTGTATCTGATAACCATGTTCTTCCAGATAGTAGTGGTCATGGGTTTGGAAGATGATGTCAAAGGAGCCTTCATGAATTTCTGCAGGGCATCTTATAGACGGTACATGCAGTTGCTTCTGAGTAGTGCTGGGAACAAATGTTTGAATGTAGTGTCAATCAAATGGGCTGCTTTGTCCTAGATGGTATCAAGATTCTTGAGTATTGTTGGAGATGTACTCATCCAGGCAAGTGAGGATTATTCCTTTGCCTTTTAGATGGTGGACAAGCTCTGGGGACCAGGAAGTGAAATTATGCATGGTAGGATTCTGAGCCTCTGACCTGCTCTTTTAGTTATAGTATTTATGTGACCAGTCCAGTTCAGCTTTCAATGATAACCCACAGGATGTTGATAGTAAGAGATTCGGCACTGATAATGGCATTCAATGTCTTGGAGCAGTGATGTGATTCTCTCTTGCTGGAGATGATAACTGCCTAGCATATGTATGGCATGAATGTTACTTACCACTTGTCAGCACAAGCCTGGATACTGTCCAGGTCTTGCTGCATTTGGACATGGACTGCTTCAGTATCTGAGGAATTATGAATGGTGCTGAATACTGCACAGTGAATATTCCTACTTTTGACCTTACAATGGAGGGAGATCATTGAAGAAGCAACCAAATATGGTTGACCCCCAAGGCACCACTCTGAGGAAGTCTTGCTGGAAAGCTCTGAAGCTGAGATTGCTGATCTCCAACAACCACAAGCATCTTACCCTAGGTAGGCATGGGAGTTTTCAACTAAATTCCCATTGACTGTAGTTTTACTCAGGCTCATTGTTGGCACACTTAGTCAAATAAGGCCTTGACATTGAGTATGGTCACTCTCACTTCTAGAGTTAGCTCCCTTGTTCATGTTTGAAGCAAGACTGTAATTATGTCAGGAGCTGAGTGGCCCTGGCAAAACCTAAAATGAGCATCATGATGATCATTGAACTCAATGGAACAAAAAACAAAGTTGCTGGAAAAGCTCAGCAGGTCTGGCAGCATCTGTGAAGAAGAGTTAACCTTCTGAGGAAGGGTCACCGGACCTGAAACATTAACTCTGTATTTTTCTTTACAGATGCTGTCAGACCTGCTGAGCTTTTCCAGCAACTTTGTTTTTGTTTTTGATTTACAGCATCTGCAGTTCTTTTGGTTTTTATTGAGCTTAATGGCATTGTTGATGACACCTTCCATCACTTTTCTGATGACCAAAAGTAGACTGATTGGGAGATAATTCGCTGCTTTTGGTTTGTCCTCTTTTTTGTGAACAAAACATACAAGGGCAAATTTCCATATTATCAGGTAGATGTCAGTTTTGTACATGGACTTGAATCGCTTGGCTAAGAGCATAGCAAATCTTGGGGCACAAATTTTCAGGACAATTGCTGCGAAGTTATTATGGCCCCCAACCTTTGCTGTATGCAGGTCTTTTAGCCATTTCTTGATATATGAATTGCATCAAGTTGACTAAAGATTGGCATCTCTGATGTTGGAGACCTCTGGAGGAGGCCACGATAGCTCATTCACTCAGCACTTTTGGCTGAAGATTGCTGCAAACACTTCATCCCTGTATGTTGCGTGTCGGATTCAGTATCCAATCAGTGGGATATTTGCGGAGTCTACTCATCCAGTGATTTGTTGAATTGTCCACACCATTCACAAATGGATTTGGCAGGACTGCAGAGCTTAGATCTAATCCATTGGCCATGGAATCACTTAGCTCAATCCATTACTTCCTGCTTATGCTATGCACACAAATAATCCTGTGTAGCAGCTTCACTAGATTGACACCTCATTTTTAGGTATACCTGGTGCTGCTCCTGGTATGTCCTCCTGCACTCTTCGTTGAACCAGGAGGAATACTTTGGAGGTTTGACAACTCACACTGATCTGGTGACCATACCTTCTTCTGGAGAGCTACATATTGTTCTTTGTAGCTTCTGTTTGACAACTTAGTCATTTTACCATGGGTTGCTACCACTCAACATCACTATGCAATCACCACCATCAGAGTTTACTTCCCTATTCTATTCATGCATGATTGATGTGTTTTCTGAGTTGGCTTTTGTTCCTTCTCAAAACATCATGATCAATAATTACACTGTAAGAGATGAGCTGATTGTTTATTCTAGAAACCTTTGTTGGTATCTAAATATTGAATTTCCAATTCATACTGTTTGTCTCATGCGCAGTTGTGGTAGTTGGCTACCTGCTTGCTTATCTTGTATCTCTTTTATTCTCCTCTGACTTTGAAGAAGACTATCCTTCAGAATGATTAGATAAGGGACAAGGTCATTAATTTTTGCCTTCTGAGCATGACTTATGCCAAGAATGTTAATCCCTTTTCTATTGCCATTGCATGGAAATGCAGCATCTTTGTTACTCAACACGTAATAATTATACATTTGACAATGTACCACACATTCTGCAACAACATTTGTGCATGGTTGTGGGATGGCGTGGGATGGCGTGTAATATGGGTCACTCCTTACTTACTACATATGTCCTGGAATGGTCTGTCCTTGTACTATAGTCTACTATCAGATGTAATCTGATTCAGGGTAGTGAATAGACTGAAAATAACACTTGTTGTGATTACACATCTGTGCATACTAGTCGTCCTGTCACTGCTGGAACATTGGTATCTACCACATAGATGATTTTGGGAAGGCATGATAACCTTAGCTATGGGCACTGTAGTGTGACTCTATGAATGCACAGAATTGGTGATTCATTATATGCTGTATGATGGACTTTCGTGGGTTGTACTGCTGAGTGCCAGATGCTTAGGTATGTATTAGCAGAGTGCATCATGCAAGATATGTTGGCACTAGTTTCTGTGTCGATTTTAGCTTTTAAAGGTGTGTCATCTTGTGTTTTCAGGACAAATGGCATTCATGATTGTAATAGCTTCTGATGATCTTATCCTGTCCCCATGGAAAACTTGATCACTTTTAAAAAGTTGCCTTTTGTTTGGCTGGCTCTGTACTTTATGGATGTGTTTGTGTTTATGTACCTTAACATTTTCCTTGCTGTTACTGTTGTAGTTTTGCACTGTCTTGTTGGTCATCTGTATTTGTTTTAGGGTCTGGCTAGGCCTTAGGAGCCAGATTTCCAGCACATGCATGACTAGTATCCCTTAGTGGCACATGCTTTATAGATGAAGGAAAACTGGACCACTTTTAGGTCTATGTGATAAACTGCATCGGTTAACATATTTTATTGGTTTGGTACACTTTGCTGATTACTGAAATAGTGCTGGGTGCATGTAAACATTTAACTGTTGTTGGCTTAACACCATGGCTTCATGCTTGCCATGTGGAAAATTACTTTTTTGTGTGTTTATTTTGTTGTATATTCTTTTAGAGAAACTTTATACTTCAAAATTACAGTCACTCTTTTTAAGGAGAGGCAAGTCTTTTAACGTTAAAGAACTTGGATTTTAAATCAGAAAGAATGTAATTCTGCCTTCTAACTGGTTAATATCCTAGCTGCAGATTTTTACTTACAATACCAGATTTTGCTGATTTTCCAAATTCATTCATGTCCTGGGGCTATTGCTGACCTTCAATAAGTTTTCCAAATATCCCCCTTGAAATCGTGGGCTTTTTCTAATAGATAGATAGACTCAACTGCTAACCATGATATGCATTTTGCCTCCAGAAAAATGTATTTATCTGATGTGGTAATGCTTATGTTATCTACTGTGACATAAGAAACTGGGACATGGATAACGTGGTATTGAAAGATCCTACATTGACCAGAAAATGAATGGAAATAGCCATATAAATATACTGGTTCTGAATACTGCACCAAGTAATGCACTCCAGTCTCCCCAAAGCCTATCCACCAACATTCCCTCTCAGCTGCTCAGCTGCACAATGCACAGTCACTCCAGTGTTCAGCTCATGGGATCAGCAAGCACGTCAATTGCAGCTTTGACTTATAGTTTTGGATGTTGCTGCCACAGATGGCCCTAAGAAACCCGTGCAGCTGGAAAGAAAAATAGTGAGAACCCTGCTGTCACCATCTACAAGGCACAAGTCAGGAGTGTGATGGATTACTCCCCACTTGCCTGGATGTGTGTAGCTCCAACAACACTGAAGAAGCTTGACACCATCCAGGATCAAGCAGCCTGTTTAGTTGGCACCACAACTACAAACGTTCAGTCATTCCAACACCAACGTTCAGTTGCAATAGTGTGTACTACCTACAAGATGCACTGCGGAAATTCACTAAAGATCCTTAGATAGCTCTGTTCAAAGCTATGACTGCTACCATCTAGAAGGAGATGGGCAGGAGATAGATGGGAACACCACGTGTGCAATTTCCCGTCCAAGCCACTCACTGGTGGTGTTCCCATCTGACCTAGAAATATATTGCCATTCCTTTACTGTCGCTACATCAAAATCCTGGAAATCCCTCTCAAATAGGATATTGGGCCTAAGTACATTACATAGTCCATAGCAGTTTAAGAATGCAGCTCACCATCACCTTCTAAAGGGCAATTAGAGGTGAGCAATAAATGTTGGCCCTGTCATTGATAGCCTGTCTGTGCCATGAGCGAATAAACAAAATTACAACTCACTAATATATACAAATGTTATATTCACAGGCACATCCATGTCAGGGCTAATGTTAATATGTTTGGTTACAGAGAGGGGTAGCATGCTTCCTTCAGCTTATCAACTTTAAGTGGCCACATGTAAAATGGAGTCTGAGATCTTTATACCCTCTGGTATGTTCTTTAAAGGTATATGCGTCTTAAAGCTATGTTGACTGTGAGACAGAACACAACAGATTGATTGCGAAGTATTGTCAACTGGTTGCTAATTCTCCACTACTGCAATTTGACCAAGCCTTTTCTAGCATTTAACTATTTTCTAACTATTCCATACTCATAAACCTCAATTTTATTCAAAGCTCTGTCAGCTTATGCTGCCTTCGACTATCTTACATATTCACCAGTACTGTTCTTAGTGATATACACAGGCTTCCTGTCCTAAATTATCCACCAGAAGTTAAAGCTCCAGGCAATCCATACAAATGGCTGAACTCTGAGCCCTAACACACATCCTGCCTCATAAATCCATTCTCGAAGATCCTCAGGCTGAAAAATGTGGAAGATTGATTTATTATCTCACCCCCTTTTCTTTCCCCAATGTCCTCATGTTATTTCTATACTCCTCTGAATCCAGTCTTCTGTTGCTGCCTTTCTCACACCACAGGTACACAGCCTTCAGCCATTTCCATCCTACTGTCTGGGATTCCCCTCTGCTTCCCAATCTCTCTCTAACTCTTAGCAACCTTTTGAAAACTGATCTCTTTAAGCTGTTTTTTTTCCATTTACCTTTTAACTTTCACTTTCCAGTACCAGCACTTTTTCCTTCATAAGAAGTTGTGAAAGGCTTTTTCACCAAAGGACCAAAATAACTAAATGTTTTCGTTGTTCTCTTGAACTTCAATTTGTACTGTTAATTTAGCCATTTCTTCAGTATAAACTACATTCATTTAATATGAAGAGATTTAAAAGATAATTTTTTTTTTTGTAAATGTTCAAGAAGTCCAGAGCTCTAAAAATGAGGATGAAAATTAGTAGAGAACTTACCTGATTGATCAGAAAGTTAACATTCTTGATCCATCTGTCACACATAAAATCTTCGATGGTCATGTCATTGTCTCTTAAATTATCAATGTAGGAATTCAAGTACTGAAGACATCGTTCTGGATAATTATCAGAATTTAATTTCTGCTGCATCTGGTTGTGAAAAAGACAGAATTATTAAACTGCTGTGCTTAACTTTGTCGTGACTTTTCCTTTACCTCTTCTTAAGACAGTAGTACCTGGTGCTTTGAAGTACTGATAAACCAGTTGTCACAGAACCTTCTCAGATTGGGAGAACAGCCAGAGGTTGTGGTCCACATTGGTACTAATGACATTAGGTTGAAAGGGGAATAGTGGTCATGCAATTAGCAAGTACGACCTCTACTAGTAGCAATTTCTGGATTACTCCAAGTTCCATATGAAAATGAGTACAAAATTGAAAGAAGCAAAATGAAAGATTGGAAACAAGGCTCAAGTGATGGTGCAGTGGAGAGGTTAGGACACGGGAATGGACTGTGGACAGCTAGCAGCTGTACAAGTCAGACAAGTTACAAACTGGACAGAGCTGAATCTGAGGTCTTTGTAGATTTTCCAGTGCTGTCAGGGAAGGTTTAACCTAACGCAGCAGGGGTGTGAGAAGGTTGTAGGGAGAAAAATCTTAAAATAAATTATAGCGGTCTAAATAAAATAGAATAGGGACTTTACTGACTGTATATATCTTCGATAGTGGTATTGTCAGGGACATGAGGGGTAAGCACTCTCATATTGTGTGCAGGAGAATCTCCTACAGCAGTATGTGTCCAGCCCAGCAAGAAAGGAGGCACAGCTGAACCATCCTTTGAAATGAGGTGATCAAGTGTCATTAAGGGTCAATGATGATTGTAGCAGAAGGTTTAGGGTGATGGTGGAAAATCACATTCAATCACCTGACAGAGAATTGACTTAATGCGGTAAGAATAGAGCTGAGCCAGAGACTGGAATTAAAGATTGGTGGGAAAAATAGGAGCTGAACAATACTTTCAAAGGCTACCATCAAACAGGAGGTACTGAGCACATGCTTTAAAAGGGAAAGGTAGGACAAACAAATCCAGAATACCCTGGTTGACAAAGGAGATAGAAAATAGATTAAAGAAGAAGTTTGCTAATGATCATGCCAGGTAGAAAATACAATTGACAACCTAGCTGACTACAGGACATTCAGAAGGGAGATGAAAAAGCAAGTGAGACAAGCAAAAGGGGATTATGAGAAGACTGGCTGCTAACATGAAGGGAAACCTGAAGCCTTTTATAAGCATATTAATTGTAAAAATGTGATGAGATGTGTGGGGACAATTAGGGACCAAAATGGGGATTTATATGTAGAGGTAAGAGGCATTGCTGAAATATTCAATGAGTACTTTTGCACCTGTCCATTACCTGGAAGGCCATGGTGATACAGGAGGTAACTCAGTCACAAGAAGAGTTTAAAATTGATAAGGAGGCTCTATATTGGATAGGCTGTCGATACTTAAAGTTGATGAGGCACCGGGACTGGGACTGGATAAGATGTATCCAAGGAGAGTGAAGAAACTCATAGTGGAAATTGGCAATAATCTTTGTATCTTACCTAAACTCAGGGGTGGTGCTGGAAGATGGAACAATTGCAAAATTATAGATAACACAGTGTGGAGCTGGAGGAACACAGCAGG